CGGGTTTCGTCTTCTAAATGAGAAGTTCATGGGCTAAAGTAGATGGTTTATCCTCGACCAATTTGTTTAACAGGACCAGTCTCCTTTTCTCAATCCCCACATCTACTAAGGTCACGTGTGTCTGGCAGAATAAATAGATTCGTTCCTTACTTGGTCCTGCAATTTAACGTTCATTGTTCGTCGCATCAGAGCCGCTGTACACAGTTCAGCCGTCATTCTTGCTCCTTCATTGGAACATCTGTTACGATGCTTTGGAACAACACTGACCTGACAGATGTAAGGTGCAGGCAATAGCGTCGTGGACTGTCGCGGGGAGGGTGGCAACGACTATGGGAGCAAGAGATGCATTTTCATCTGATCGATAATGATAGCATAATACCGCATTTCGACTCGTAAGTCTTTGCAACAACGGTTCGTCGGTGGACAGAATCGAACATGAACTCAGTATGACGTCATGATTGACTTGTGTGTCATCAGAAGTCTTTATATTTTGAGTGGCCTAAATCTTAACATTCTCATGAAATGATTATAATTTTATCATTTAGATCACTTACTTCGTGGGATGAACTATACTTTTTAACGAAAACCGTGCGCATAATCAAGAGTTTGATGCTGGCGCAGCTGGCGAACACCGGAGTAAGTTGTAGTTCTTCGCTTTTAGTCAGTTGGGTTGTCTTTTCTATTCTGTATCTTAGCAATTGGACTCGGCATTGCTGAACTGGAACTATCTGGTGAAAAATTCGCGCAAACTCCGTCTTTTGTGGGCTATGTTGCCGTCGCATTCGATTGTGATAGATCACGTTCACGATCACCTGTGGACGATTTTGCCCATTACGCCTATGTCCACCTACCTGTCCTTGCTGAAGTTCATGAAACACCATGTAAGCGACAAAATATTTCCGTGTGCCTTGTGTAACGATGAATGCTTGCAGCACCCAGACAGTTTCCGCCGCGTTTTCGTGGCACCTACACAGTTGGACGACACCAAAAGCTATAAAGCCCCGCTGCTGGCTTTCTTTGACAAGCGGTTTTCGGAAAAGTTGGTACTCACACGCTGCGTTGCTCCCCTGAAGCGCCTAGACAGCGATTGCTTGGCAATTCTTCTATCTCCGAGCATCCGGATCGCCGGCGAAAGCCTGAACAGAGCGTACGATAACTGTGACAGATTTTACAAGTTAGTTTTTATAGTTTCATTTTCATTTCTTTTACGAACTATATGATGTATGGTTAGAAAGCCCCAACGTAAAACAGAGATGGAGATCTTTTATTTAACAGCAGGCGCATTCGTTTGCCTACACTGGTAACATCTTCATTTGCTCGTAATCGACTGAAAATCGTTGCACCAACCAGAAGAAGAATATCCTTAGGCCATTGTTTTGGTAAAGTTGTCTGTTAAAGGTAGATTGGTTTCACGCTTGACTTGGCCGGGCCCAGTTGTTTCTACGGCTATTATGGGTTCTTGGACAAAGTGGACGACCTCTGTCCCTCGTATACATGGAGGTGAGCCAGGAACAACGTGCTGGGTGTCACTATCCAGTCTCTCTGCGTCACAGGAAAGACAGAGTCTCTTAAATTGGATTGTATTTGCGATGGTATGAAGTCGTCGTTTCGTTTGATACCGATGAGATGCCTTTGACAACACATGTGGAAGCTCTGGAGCTGGATGATATCGGATCTCTTTTAATAAACAACATATTTAGTCTTGTCAGTGGCTAAATAAAGCATTTCCATCTTGGTTTTGCGTTTCGGTTTCCCAGTCAGTCGTCAAGAAAATAGCTCGTTGATTAATTAAAGACTCAGAATTGAACATGGTTTCGAGTGTTCATCTTGATTCTACGCCAGAACGTTTTACTCTTTTACTCTAAGTTTAATCTTTTCATTGGCTTTGGGTAATGTTAAACAGAGGCTGATGTTGCGAAAACTTTATTACGCAGTTGTCAGCGTTTCGGTCAGACACCAGCGGCCTTCTTTGGGACAGAAAACTGACAACGGATTCTACAATATATACTGCGACTCGCGTAGCTTCAGTAAGCGGGAACTGCTAACCCCAGCCTCTAGCGATGTCAAAAAAAGCTATTCAGCGGTCGCACGGCTTCTTGCTAGTTGAGATATGTAGCATTTTTTGATAACCAGTTGTGATAGCGGTAAGTGCCAGAAACCATGAAGGCAAACTGAACTTGCTCCGAAACATAAGTTTGGGCGAGTGGTGCGTCTGTTATTGAAGCTCTCATGCTTATTTTTTCTCCCGTTTTGTCGTTCCAGAAGAAATTTTCCCGAAATGAAGTGTATGTATCCTACTTGGCGTCATTTTTGTTTGCATGTGACTGTCTTTCTACTTAACGCTCCTGCCTATGTCGTTTTTCTGTATGCTTCGCACTTTTTCATTCCGTGGTTTGCAACTTCAGCAAACTTCTTTTCTCAGATTAAGTCAAGTTTATTGCTGTGGCAGGTGGTAACTACCATCAGTTCAATAAGTTCACAGTAGGTGAAGCACAAAACCAACGGTACAGTAACAAGATAAAAGTTATTCAGGACAAGTTCGATTGGACCGGGCTTCTGAACGCGTCTCGATCCTTAAGGGTTTGGATTAGGTGATGCATAAGTGAGATTTTAAACGTATCAGTTATGGCGTACATAGAGTTAAACTCGCTGTCCTTCCCCTCCAATTTTTGCTACGATGTTAACCGTGACAAAAGATTCGAACTCTGCTCTGGTTGAATAAGTTTTTCCCCTATCGTCCAGCAACTATATAGCCAACAGCACTGACTAGAATTTTTCCTTCTGGCTCCAAACTACTAGCCACTGCAAACAACAAGATAAATCTTAGAAGGTTTGTCAAACTCTTACTTTGAGAAATATTCGTTAGAAACGTCGGTATTTGTCAATCATTTGATTAACCATGTTAATTTAATTTTTTTTGCGTTGAAATTAGTATACCATGTTTTATATTGTTTTTATCTTCTACCTTGGACGGATACCTTCCGCGCCTTCGACGCAGTGTGCTGAAGGTGGTTTGACCATTTAGATACATTTCTTGATGGAGGAATGACTTCATCTTCTCCAAGGTGGTACCATGTCACTCATGCAGGTCACTGATGTCACATCCTCCAGCATGTTAGAGCGTGCTAGGAGGAATGAAAATGCTCTCAAATCAGTCTTTAACCTCCACACATTCAGCAGTGAGTAGCGCTCTTTTCATTACCTCCGCAAAATATGCTGTCTACTTTACTTGCTACTGTCGCTACCACTGCCATGTCATTTACGTGTTTCAGGATGATATGAGGTATACTGACTTGACAACCATCTGCATAGATGGAAACAAGCAGAGGGGAGTATTTCAGTCATCGTCTTTAGCTATAGTGTAGTGAAACATGTATGAATGTTTAATGTCGTCGGATATCCATCTATATTAGAAAATCCGTTTTTCCTTTCGAATTTCGGAACAGCTGCTTAAGCAGAACGTGTCGCACGCAAAAATTTAATTTTAATTTAAGTTTCTGAGGTGCATATACGCGCACTACTTTTTTGGTAAAATAGACCGTAGGCTATACTCTATTCCATCCACACAGCTTTAGACATTGCCTTTGAATAAGGCATCGCTGGCTGATGTCAAAAAACGGAGAGCGGCACCGCACCACAAAATCCACCAGAAGAAGGGTTCTACAAATGGCATCCGTCACGTTAGTGTAAAGGAGATCGACATCCTGATGGTCGCAGATTTTCTCTGTTTTCCATTTGTTGATTCATGCTTCGAGTCAAACTGAAATACAAAACCAAATCAATGAACATCTTCATCTTCATCTTCCATCGCCGCTTCTCCTTTCGGGTCGCGGAGGCAGACTCGTCGGACAGTGCTTCCAACGTTCCCGAACCTGTGCCAGAGTCTGAGCTTCGGCAAAAGACAAATTCAACCTGGAACAGATTCCTTCCATATGTTTGTACCAGGTTAATCTTGGCCGTTCCGTGGGCATTTTGCCGGTCGGATTTGTAAGGAACAATTGCTTAGCCTTCCTTTCTGGAGGCATTCGCAGCACATGCCCAAGCCATCGCAGCTGTGACTTCTCAATC